TACTGTTTCGATGTTTGTATGCTATCTTGGCTTGTTTCCAAGCCACACCATGGAGCTACTTTAAACCGGTAGTCCACTACCATCATTTATACCAACACCGGTAGCTCTGATGTGGAATGCTAATTAATAGCACGGTTGACATGAAAATGACTTTATGTTCAATCATGCTGATCACCAAGCACCTCATGGGGCTACCATATTAGGCGAGACTTTTTTTATTCCTTGTTTCGCGAACCTATTTTTTTTTTAAAGATCGTCAGAGGCTGGAAGAAAAAATAAATAAAAATAAAATTTTGTTTTTTTCTTGTTTAGCAAATAGTTTTGCCAAAACCACCCCGACGGAGGATAAAATAAAAATAAAATGTTATTGTTGAATGTAAACAGTGTAGTAATGGGATGGTTAAATGCTTTAAACTTATATAAATAGGAAAAAATATACATAGGCCTCTTATCTTATTTTTGGAGATTTCAAGGCAGTGGCGGCCTTAATAAAGATAAAGAAAAGCTTTTACGTTTTTCTGAAATTTCCAGTTTTTCGCGGCGGCGGGTGCGCTAATTGGCCAAAAATAACATTTTATTGTTATTCTAAGTTATCAACATTTGAAGGCGGCGGGTTCGCGAAACAAAGTATAAACAAGTCTCGTCTTAAGGTACGGTACCGTACTCTTTTTAAAAGCAGGCCTATTTTACTCTTTCTAAATAGCGATTATTTAATAGGTTATTGAAGGTCATATATTAAGAAAATATCACATGTTTAGTTGTATTTCAGAAAATTGTATAGTAATACCCATCGTCTTGTATATTAAATGGCAGGGTACAGTAATTGCATTTTATATCAGGTAATAATAGCCTAAATAGCTTTATATTTGTCCAGGGAATTTATATTTTATTGTAAAAACTTCATTTCAGCCATTGATGCACAATATAGGGCACATTTCTCTGACGAAATAAAAGAAGTAGATGCCTTTCTAAAACGCTAGAACTAAATAATCATTGATCATGTTTCTAATAGATTATGCTCAGATTTTGATAAACATATTAAAAATGTATATAAGAAATAAAAACAAGATTGATACAGTACACGATATTAAGTGGTTTGGATTTGATTTAGTGCAAAAACAATGTTCCTTATAATTTGAGCAACAACAACGAAACACTTCATTGTAAGCTAAATTGAGACATTTTTACTTCAACAACCGCAAGTCAATGTCTTAGCCATCAAATCACACCTTCATGGTGAAAAATAATGACTACACGATGGAGGTATTGTTTGCAAAGCTAACTCAAACAACACTGATAAACTTTGTTGTTAATCAAACATGAACATTGTTAGTCAACAAAACCATATTGTCAATTGCAAATTATAAACTAATATTCCTTTGACTCTCCCATTTCCCTATCAAGGAAAAATTGACCCACATCTTTCCCAAGAACAGGTAGGCCTCTTTGTTATAACATTTTAACAGGAATAAACCAAGATACAGTATGTGCACCGATACTCCAAAGGGCATTGGCTGGTTGTCTCGGAGCTAGTGAAATGAAGACCTATCTGTATTACACAGTACTGTCGCGATGAAGAATGTTTTGGACAATGGAATAATAATATAATAATATTGTAATAGTAATTCATGAGACTTGGTATTGGTCTATGGGTAGTATGCGGTGTTACAAGAAATAGGCCTGTGTCCCATAAAAGGCACTCCTATGATACGACAATAAACAAAACATCTTCTATATTCTGTGGTAAACCTCGTAAGTTTCGTAATAATTTCATAACGTAGTACCAACAATGTATGTACACGCACTCCACATCAATGACGCCACACTTGCGTCGCCGGTGTTTGATATGCATAATTGTGTTAATTACTACAACATTAATGGTGACAATCTATACTTTTAAATCCATAAATGGAATGTAGAATAGGTGCACTGGGTGCTCTAGATAATAAAATGTTGGTTAATAAACCGCGCTGTTACTGTTTTCGAGTTGATCGATTTGATTTACCGTCCGACAGCTGGTGATCCGAGCCTAGGAGTCTCTTCTACATCAAGTATGGGAACAGCGAGTGACAGGCGTTGATGATTTTACTAATAATACGCTTAACCATGTTTAAATCAGTCACTGATTTTATATTATCCACTCGTCAAAGAGCTAATGTGAGATGTTTCTTTTCGTGGCCCAAAATGCGTGAAGCATTTCGTGAAAAACAATTAGCCGGTAATTTATACAGGAAATAGAATACTTTGATTTATAGGCCTATGTTTACAATGGCTTGTGAATACTATATACATAATATCCGCGACAATGCCAACAAATATAAACCACTTGTGCATGACATGTAAAGTACAAGGTCCGTTTGTACACTAAATGAACACAGTATGACTTGGAGTTACATAGCAGTGGTGGCGCCAGCAGGGGGAAGGATAAGAGGGGAGGGGGAGGATAAGAGGGAGAAATATCCCCACAACGTCGGATAGGCATGTACCTTCGTCGTCCGGCGCCACGACGAGGAAGTCAGACTATATTTATTTTCCTATTAAAATGACTTTGTTTTGACTGACAATCCCTAATACAGTAATATTGTTGTCTAAATGGACAATTTTAGGTCATTCTAAGTAAAAAAAAACTCTAGACATGAACCTTACCATGGATTTTATTCCGGGACCCTGACAGAGGCTGTAGTCGACCCCTTGGTTAGGACCCTTATCGGACTAGTCGGACTCATGTCGGCAATTAATGTCTGGAGCCACCACTGCCATGAATATCCTATACTTAACCTACAGTACGGTACCTAGTTTTGAAGGAGAAAAACAAAAAAAAATCACAATTCGGAGGTTCACCGAAGCTCAATCGTAGCACGAGGCTTAACTTAGCGATTTTATTAGAACAAGAATCAATCAATCAATCAATCAATCAACAAGAATTTATATAGCACCATCCAAGGCAGAATGCAATGTCCAGTGGCGCTATGACAATGGCATTACTCAAAGTGTCCATTAACTACTGATGTTAAGGTAGGATGATTGTGATAGACTTTATCGGTGAAACTGGGATTCTTTTAACATCAATCTTCTCTTTTCGGAAGAATGTAAGCTGAAAGCATTACACCTGCATGGGCTGATTTCACATGGGACCCACGTCTTAAAAGAAGCTATGCTATATTGTAACCTTGGATTTGTTTATCCCCCAAGCTACTCCTGCCACCCCACCTAACTGAAACATAAGAACAGCGATGGACTTGAACCAGGGGACAATGGTCTATGTCCATGATTCAGAACACACACACACACGGTAGCCCACTACTCCATTATCGATACGGAACACAAATCGAATTGAGGTACTGTAGATTCTTCATGGAAATGTATCAGGTAAAGTATGGAATGCAACAGTAACAATGTCAACAAGAGTGCTAGTCACAAAATGAGACCTACTCAACATATTTACAAGCAATCTAACAAAGGAAGCTTGGGAGATCTTCAGCATGCAAAGAAGATCGAGTGTCAGGAAAAATTTGTTTCAACCTGACTAATTTTGGCGTGATAGGCACATGTGAGGACGTCAAAATATGACGTAAACACGAGGTAATGCAACTCAGTACAAAAACTGTTTGTGTTAACGTCTTATTTCTTTGTTCTGTAGGACCATCCCAAAACAAAATGAATGTTAAGTAGTGATTAATTCATTACAAATATTTGTTATAGTTATGCAATCTTATTTTTAAGGACTGTGAATAATGAGTCGACTAATGATACTAACATAACTAATGTTTTACGACTGAAAAAAAAATGTGGATTTTGTTTGTCAGTTCCTTGTCACCTTCATCCACAGGAAATGTTCGTTCCATTCGCTATACATAAAAAGAAAAATAATGACACTTACAACACAACGGGATCTATAAAGATATAGAAAAAGAAAAACACGATACGAATAAAGCCAAAGGTTAGCAAAAAAAAAAAAAAAACTACGAATAGGCCCATTTTTTTTTATTTGCGTGTTCGTGTTGTAAGATATTATTTTATTTTTTATATAAAGCTATAACTTGAAATGACATTGAGTCTCATTCTCATCCATTTTTAAGTGGGCAATTCAGCGCATTAACGAGTATGTAGGCTATCATTAATTTTTACAATATCACAAAATGCAAATTGTATAGAAGTCACTTTTCGTAAACGACAGACTACAGGCACAAATAAGAGAGATGAAATTAACTTGCACGACATTTGATATAGGAAGGCCATGCAACTCCTTATGTTTCCTAATCATCAACGATTTTCTATTATGTTTATTATTCATAAATGTGCGTATTCATAAATGTACGTCTACTTGAGCAGTCTACTCGATATTTTATACTGGCGTAAAATTTCATTTATTCCATTCAAACTTAACGAAAATTGATGGTTGCCGGCGATGATATCTTCAAGAAGCAATTAAGAAAACGAATGGAATTTATTAAAAAGAATTGGTAAAGAAAGATATATAAGACGAACAATCGTTCAAAATGTCTATTTTTATTTCAGATACCATTGCAAAAAGTGTCGTAAGAGATTTACAATTCGTCGTATATTTCCCAATATTGAATTTTAGCAACGAAAACTGACAGGAAAATAGAGTATATTTGTGAATAATGTCGATATAATCTTGTGTATTAAATACCGTACCGTACAATTTTTTTTTTTTTTTACAGGATCAAGTTTATCCGGGTTAACTCGGAGCGAGATGTGTGTGTGGAAAAATTATCATTTATGAACAACCTGTAGCTGAAGACATGACTTATTTTGCACACCGGAAAAACAACTTAAAAAATACTGAACATAGGCCGATTATAAGCTATAGACGAGTCTGTAAAAGAGAGAATGGCCTACAGAGCGGAGACCAAAACCTTCCTATTTATGACAAATACGGCAAGTGATCTGTTATGTAGCGTTGCAATCATCTAGCAACCGTAGGACTGTGTTTGGCGTATGCATACCCATGGCATACCATAGCCTATCAGTCGGCGGCGCACAACAGATGTACTAAAGTGCTAGAAAATCACATAATCGGATCTGTCCCTTGAACCTCTCCTGAGGACCACCCCTTTTAAGGAGACAATACTAAAGGTCACATCTTTTCGGCGGATGTGAAAATAAATTATAGGGTAACTCTTCGATCAACCCCGGAGAGATACCCGTATGAAGGGGACACTTTTGGTCCTGAATGCGTTTAAATTGGCGTGCACATTTATGCTACGAGTAGGCCTTAATTGATATCATTACAGTATATTGCGTGCAACGCATTTAACCTACGTGTACGTGCGTGTTCACGGGCCTCGTTCGCACCTATCTATCGTCACATAGGCCTACCTATCGGTAATTCAGATAAACAGTACAGTAATCTTTACAGTTTTCAAATCCCTCCATATATCGACTATCTGTGGCATAACTTTTTGGTAGGCATATTGCTTCAGATAAAGAACTTATTAGATGACATTGAGAACTTTTACTGGGCCTATTAGTTATTTATGCATCTTTAATAAATCCTCAAATAATGCTTACCCCTAGATCTGGTAGATATATAGCTTAACACCTCTCGTGCGTATGCATCTTTATAAACGTCGTCTTGATTATCGATCAATTTAAAAATCCACTCATAGTTTTTACCAGTTTTGTTGAGCCCTTTCTGGACACCGCCACACGCAAAGTAAAAGTTACGAGATATTATATCAGGGTTATTAGTTTTCTCGTCGTTGGCAATGATCAACCCGATATGTTTCCAGTCGTATAGTTTAAAAAACGCGTTCAGTGATTCCCCCATCCTCGTGTAAGGTGACTCTACACGGGTTAACATTTTATATTCCGTTTGTTTGTCATCGAAATCCGGTGCTAGAGCTCCAACGGTGATCACCGGTATGTCCCAACGACCAGCAAGTCGAATGGCAGGTGCGGCACTATACTCACAACAGGGTCCAAACATAGCGTTACCCCCCTGTTCATGAAATTCCACAGTGTCTATCATCGGCTGGACGTGATGACACTGTGTGTCTTTCCATGTTATGTTCCTCGACAAACCTGATAGCAAACCACGCCTGTCCACTAGTTCCCACGCTATATCTGCGCTAGGCCGTATGAGACTTGCCTTGAAAGGTGTCTTGTAAGGGTACACGTCGTTGTAAGTTGTCATGAACAGCAGTCTAAGTTCATTTTCGTTATTCCCGGGTAATATACACTGTGCCTTCTGCGCTTCCGTCACGGCTAAGAGAGTCAACAATAAACCTAGGCACAACATTGTTCCGTTTACTCACGATAGATAGATACAAGAGCGACTTCCAACTAACTCGTGAATCGAGAACGGCGAATCATATAAACACTTGACTAACAAACGTAAAACGAGGCCCAAATCGACGTATGCACGGAGACCACGGGTACATTACTAATTGCACTTGCCTCAACATATCGCGCGATCATTCGCAAAGTAAATGGTTTTATCTATGGTTGGTGGATGTCAATATAGAAAATGAAAAATAGATCTAAATTTAATACAAGTGAGTAACCACGAATGGTCCACTGTGGTAAGCCGTAAACACAGTCGTGAACTTTGTTACAGTGGAGAAGTCAATCTATCGAGCAATCAATAAATCAAGCAATCATTCAGTCATCAATATGATTACCGTATGTCCTGTCTACTTGATTCAATACTAATGTGAGAATGAATCTTTTATTATATGGATTTATATGAAGAGAAAACACAATTCTGTCCGAATAATGAGCGATTATTATCAGTCGAAACCGATGCATAGACTTTCAGTTTAATGAAAATCTCGAACTTTCATTGGTAGGCTGACGCAGTTATGTGTTGCATTCGAAACGAGTGGGGCTATTATTCTTGAAACAAGGTCTACATAATGGTACAGAAAATCACATCTCTCGAGTAGATACTGAAATTAATTTCCCTAGAGCAACGTAAATGAAAAGTGCTGGGCTGCGGAGCGCTGGCTAAAATTAATTTATTGCAATGTAAACTAATTGTAATTGCGTCGCGCCTTAGTCTTAGGTGACCGCGACTACTGTTTAGCAAAGGTATTTGAGTACAGCCCATACTGTAGTCTGTCGCTTTACACTTCCGCTGCTAGTAGGCATATACAGTACTCTTGTATAATGATAATAATCACGAAATTTGAGGTCAAATATGTCCAGCCAACCTTCAATATTAGTATGATTCTGGAGTTTCAATTTCGATGTTGCTCTAACCGACCCAATCTAATCTACACCAGGAAGGGGGTAACAGCCTCACTGATTGTCGACATGACCCGACGTTCAATATGTAGGACTATCATCGTACAATGGTAGCAGTACTATGATGTATGAACTACACTGCCCGGTAGGTCGTTTGGTCAAATAATTCTATACCTCACTAACTTAGTGGTACCCTTATATTTGGCGACCTAAACGATGCAATTTCGTGTGCAATTAACTACGTATTTTATTGAAGATTGAGAATTGCGATAAAAATGTGCGACCAGGTGGGGGTCAATTAACAGCTATATTCGTTACACGCTAGTCTTGCACGACATATAGTATTAAACTATTGTGTCGCGTTACAATATCTTTATAAGATATAAGATGGAGGGCACGTAATTCTCTAGTAAAATAAGTGATTTGATGTATAGGTAGAACGTGACTGAACTGAACAAAATAGTGAACAAAAATAGAATATGCTACTGAAATCCTTCAACCTTTTCAGTCATTTGAATTTAACAGTGTATCTTTTAATTTGAATTTAACAGTGTATCTTTTAAGCCTGTATATATA